ATCCACCATTTCATTCATCCATCCATCCATCCATCCATCCATCCATCCATCCATCCATCCATCCAACATCCACCTCTTCCAGCTCTTCCATGAGGACTCCATGGCATTCCCAGACCAGCTGAGAGACGTAGTCTCTCCAGCGTGTCCTGGGTCGTCCCCGGGGTCTCCTTCCAGTTGGACATGCCCAAAGCACCTCCTACGGAGTTGTTCAGGGTCCGCCCTTATCTGCTGTCTGATCCACCTCATCTGGCTCCTCTGGATGTGGTGGAGCAGTGACTCTACTCCAAGTCTCTCCTGGAGAACTGAACTTCTCACCCTATTTTTAAAGGAGACTCCATCCACCCTGCAGAGAAAACTCGTTCTTCTCACCTCCACAATCTAATTCTTGCTTCACCAACAAATTATGTACACAAACGTTATGAACTAAATCAGTGACCCTGAAATGGTCTGACTTACTGTGGACAGATCTTCAGTCCCACTCACTGAGCACCACCCACAGGTTTCAACATGAACATGATGGAATACCTTCTGCAAATCCTTAAAACACACATAGACTGGTTGGGCAAACTCCCATGCACCCCAAGAACCCTAGTGAGGGTAAAGAGCTGGTCATGTTGTTATTTTCAGGTTATGAGTAAAGCAGCTGCAGCTCCGTCCCTCCTCATCTCAGGATGATTTTGGCGGATGATACATATTCTGTCCAGGATCCTTTCGCCTGTATTTGTTCTCTGTTTCTAAACGTTCCTCACAGCTGATCTGATTCGTCGGCAGCCAGTTATCACACCAGTGAGCCCAGTGTTTGTTTTCTCTGAGAGCTTATGTTTGTCCTGTTGACCAACAGTTTTACTGTTCATGGTGTAGGAATTGCTTCTTACTGCTCATCTGCTCATACTGCTTGAAACCAGTAACCAGGACACGGTTGTGACCTGATTGGTTCAAATACAAGCTTATAAATGGTACATACCAGCTGACGCACCAGCTCGGCCAGTAATGTTTGTCTGTTTTTTTCTCTGTCGTCACTTCAGGGTCCATCAGGTTTGAAAGGAGGAGAGGGGCCCCAGGGTCCGCCCGGTCCTGTTGTAAGTACCAGGTTACATCTGTGCTAGTTTTAATCCCTGTCTTTAACCCAATAACTGTTTTTTTATCCATATTTAATTTTAAGCAGCAGCTTTTATGGCCTCAGGTTTCCATCGGCATCACGTTGTCTTTATCTTCACGGTGCTTTAATGATCACACTTGATGCTGTTTTTATTGAAAACACCAGACGTGTTTCTGTGACATGTCCTGATCCACACGCACCTGCAGTAAATACATTCTGTTGCACTGACTCAGGTGTGTCAGAAGACACTGGTCATGTTCCTGTGGTTGATTTAGTATTTTCCCTGTAGAATCAGCAGCGTTGTGAAGCAAACAACTGTCCACAAAGCAACACTGTTCTCTGTCACCTCGTGGTGCTCAGGGTCTCAGAACCAAAAGAAACAAAGTCGAGAAACCTCAGAGTCAGGAGAACCTCAGGGTCAGGAGAACCTAAGAGTCAGGAGAACCTCAGAGTCAGGAGAACTTCAGAGTTAGGAGAACCTCAAATTCAGAGTAATGAGAACCACAAAGTCAGGAGGACCTCAGAGTCAGGAGACCTTAAGAGTCAGGAGACCTTAAGAGTCAGGAGAACTTCAGAGTCAGGAAAACCTCAGAGTCAGGAGAACCCCAGAGTCAGGAGAACCTCACAGTCAGGAGAGCCTCAGATTCAGAGTCATGAGAACCACAAAGACAGGAGAACCACAGAGTCATGAGAACCACAAAGTCAGGAGAACTACAGAGTCAGGAGAACCTCATTGTCAGGAGAACCATGGAGTCAGGAGAATCTTAGAGTCAAGAAAACCTCAAAGTCAGGAGAACCTCAAAGTTAGGAGAACCTCAACGTCAGGAGAACCTCAGAGCCAGGAGAACCTCAGACTCAGGACGACAGAGTCAGGAGAACCACAGAGTTGGTAGAACCACAGAGCCAGGAGAACTGCAGACTCAGGAGGACAGAGTCAGGAGAACCACAGAGCCAGGAGAACCTCAGACTCAGGAGGACAGAGTCAGGAGAACCACAGAGCCAGGAGAACCACAGAGTCAAGAAAACCTCAGAGTCAGTAGAATCACAGATTGAGGAGAAC